TATTGGGGGAATATTGCAGTGATGTTAAAGGAAATTATGGAGGAATCAATACCAATGAAACCGGAATTATATTTATTGAACATTATCCCCGAAATGTATAGAAAAGAACAGAAAAATTTGTTGTTGCATTGTATAATAGCAGCAAGGATAAGCTATGCTAAGTACCGGAAAACAGATAAGATTCCAGATAAGCTAGAAGTGATACAAAAATTGTTTGAGGTCGCCGAAATGGATAAGCTAACTTGTATATTAAAAGGGAAAGATGAAGATCCTTTTGAGAAAAATTGGGGGAACCTATATAAATGGAAAGTTAAAAGGAACGGTCAGGAAGAGATTTGATTGATGAATACTGGAAGTTAAAAAGGCTGTATGCTCGTCTATGTAGAATGGTATAATCAGCACATGTTGTTGGGTGTAGGTGATGGAAAATCAATAAAAATATTATTTTTTTAAAAAAGAGCTAGGTTAAGACTTCCCACGTATTCGTAGCTAGATTGCTGTAGCCCCCCCCCCCTTCCAGACAGGCTGGGTGCTGCCTGTGTGATTTTTCAGCCTACTTGAAATTCAGCCCATGGTCTCCAAGTGTTTACATCTCAAAATGTCAGAGATTGGGCAGCCTTTCATTTCTCAGGCACTGCCGCTTTGCAGAAGCCGGCGCTTGAAAGCTGACCTCGCATGACCTGCTTTCTTTCTCTGATAGAGAGGGCCCCCTGGAGCGCAGGGGCAGAGCCCCTGCTGTACCTGCGGAAGACCCCCGGTTCAGTCCCCAGCGTCTCCAGGGAAAAGGTTGTCTGGCGGCAGGTCTTTGGAAGACCCCGCTCGCCAGAGAGCTTGCAGCGTTCCCTCCCAGCTGAGTTAGTGTGAGCTAGCTCACAGGTTTTTTAGCCTCTGGTTCGCACATTTTTGTCTTCGCTCAGGGAGGACGGCTCCAGAGCAAACTAATTGACGCAGCAGCCCGCAGCTTTAATGCTAGTAGCTCACAAAGTAGAATTTGTGCTCACAAAACGCCACAGCTTAGAGGGAGCACTGGAGAGCCGTGGCGGTCAGAGAAGGCTGCGCGGCATAGACAGACCAGCGGCCTGCTGAGAAAGGCACATTTCCTTTGAATACGGTTCGATGCTCATCTAAATAGTATCCTATCTGGTGTGACCTGGTTATGCGGTTCTGGTCTCATATATAGCGGCAGGACTTCAACGAAGCCCTGGTATAAACATAGACTTTACGAATTCTCAGGGTGTGTGTGTGTGTATAAATTGCATTAAGTTGCAGCCAACTTCGGGCGACCCCAGCAAGGGGCTTTCAAGGCAAGGGAGAAGCAGAGATGGTTGGCCATTGCCGTCCTCTGCAGAGCCTTCCTTGGTGGTCTCCCTTCCAAGTACCAACCCTGCTTAGCTTCTGACTTTTGCTGACTCCAGCAAGGGGCTTTCAAGGCAAGGGAGAAGCAGAGATGGTTGGCCATTGCCGTCCTCTGCAGAGCCTTCCTTGGTGGTCTCCCTTCCAAGTACCAACCCTGCTTAGAGTCTGAGTTTTGGTGGCTCCAGCAAGAGGTTTTCAAGGCAAGGGAGAAGCAGAGGTGGTTAGCTATCGCCTTCCTCTGCAGAGTCTTCTTTGGTGGGCTTCCTTCCAAGTACCGACTCTCCTTAGCTTTCGAGATCTGACGCGATGACTGTGCCGCCTTTCCTCCCGCTGACCAGTTGCAAGCAGTGTTCCCTCTAAGTTGAGTTAGTGTGAGCTAGCTCACAGTTTTTTAGCCTCCAGCTCACACATTTTTGTCTTAGCTCAGGAAGGATGGCTCCTGAGCAAACTAACTTATGCAGTGGCCAAATCGTTTGCTCACGACTTTAATGCCAACAGCTCACGGAAGTAGAATTTTTGCTCAGAAGACTCCACAGCTTAGAGGGAACATTGGTCACGTCTCCAATATCTACTACACAAGAGGAGATCTCCAATATCTACTACACAAGATGGAGCAGAGGTCCATCAGTGGCTATTAGCCACAAGGTATAGATAGGGACTCTGGGGCAAGTGATGCTCTGTCATCTTGGTGCTTGGGGGGGGGTCAACAGTGGGAGGGCTTCTAATGTCCTGGCCCCACTGGTGGACCTCCTGATGGCTCTGGTATTTCTGGCCACTGTGTAATACAGAGTGTTGGACTGGATGGGCCTTTGGCCTGATCCAACATTGGCATCTCTTATGTTCTTATGTTCCTATAGATGAGATATTTCCGGAGATGTTTGTATATAGATATTATCTGATGTTGATGGTATTCATCAGAAGCTTTTAGCTGGAAAATACTTATTGCCCCACTGCGGAATGCTGTAGCCGAAACACATTGGGTGTTCTGTTCATGTTCATCTTTGAGTAACTGAATATGTGTCATGGGGTGATTGCTCTGTATGAATTAGTTTCATGTTTTATTTGCCCTACTGGAAAAGAGATCCGTGTACAGACGCAGTACAGCAATTTTCTATGGTTTGTGTGGTCTATTAGTTGTTATTTATTATTAGTTGTTAATCACTGTGAGTGATTCAAATGTGGAATTCGCTGCCAGTGGATGTAGTCATGGCCACAGGAATAAACAGCTTTAAAAGGGGATGAGACGGATCCATGGAGGATAAGTTTATCAATGGCTACTAGTCATGGTGACTAAAGGGAACCTCCACACCCAGAGGCAGTCAGCTCTGAATCTCAGAGCCAGGAGGCAACATCAGGGGAAGGCCACTGGTTGGCTACTGTGTGAGACGGGATATTGGACTAGATGGTCTCTTCTGATGTTCTTATGAAGGCCTATGAAGGCCTCAGTCTCTGTGTCCTGTTGCTGGACATCCAGAGGAACTGGTTGCCCACTGTATGAGACAGGATGCTGGACTAGGTGGACCACTGTTCTGATCCAGCAGGGCTCTTCTGATGTTCTTATGAAGGCCTCAGTCTTTGCCCTGTTGTTGGCCCTACAGAGGAACTGGTTGGCCACTGTGTGGGACAGGATGCTGGACTAGATGGACCCTCACTGGTCTGATCCAGCAGGGCTCTTCTGAGGTTCTTGTCAGGGGAAGGCCTCGGCCTCCCTGCCCTGTTGTTGGCCCTCCAGAGGAACTGCGTGGCCACGGTATGGGACAGGATGCTGGACTGGATGGATCCTCACTGGTCTGATCCAGCAGGGCTCTTCTGATGTTCTTCTCAGGGGAAGGCCTCGGCCTCTCTGCCCTGTTGTTGGCCCTCCAGAGGAACTGGCTGGCCCCTGTGTGAGACGGGATGCTGGACTAGATGGACCCTCACTGGTCTGATCCAGCAGGGCTCTTCTGAGGTTCTTATCAGGGGAAGGCCTCGGCCTCTCTGCCCTGTTGCTGGCCCTCCAGAGGAACTGGCTGGCCCCTGTGTGAGACGGGAGGCTGGGCTAGATGGACCCTCACTGGTCTGATCCAGCAGGGCTCTTCTGAGGTTCTTATCAGGGGAAGGCCTCGGCCTCTCTGCCCTGTTGCTGGCCCTCCAGAGGAACTGGCTGGCCCCTGTGTGAGACAGGAGGCTGGACTAGATGGACCCTCACTGGTCTGATCCAGCAGGGCTCTTCTGAGGTTCTTATCAGGGGAAGGCCTTGGCCTCTCTGCCCTGTTGCTGGACATCCAGAGGAACTGGATGCTGGACTGGATGGGGGCTGTTTTGATATTCTTACTTTAATATAATTAATGGATGATTAAAATTTATTTTTAGTTTTGTTTTTCACCCCATGGAAGGAACAGTTGGGAGACGACTCTCTGCATGTTTTTTTGTACAGATTGGCCAGCTCCGTGTCTGGAAACTTGCAGTTTCTGTTGTAGTGGGGGTTGTAGTCCACATTGTAAGGTGCAACACACAGCCAGTATTCAGCAGATCCACTGTGCATATTAGGATTGCATGGTTCACTGGGAGAGTGATGCACAATTCATGTTAAACTCTGCACAATTGCATATAACCCTACGTTTGTACATCCCTCCCCTCTCACACAGGCAGTATTCATGGCCTGTTTTAGGTTGCTGAGTTCAGTCATGGAGATAATTTCAGCGTAGGGGGGGAACGGTGTACAAAACACCCCTAAAATGCTCTGCATTCAGACTTCCTCATTGGGTTCTGCAAGCCCGTGATGCCATGGAACGTTAACTAATATTCTTGCTGCTGACGGTCAAGGTACCCAATCTCGTGCAGACCCATATTCAGGTCCGTGGTGCTTTCTTATGAGAATTTCCGGGTGGGCTGTGTCCAGAGAGAAACGTGTATTGCCAAGTTGCTGTCTGGGCAGCTGAGGACAGGCATAGTAATAAAATCAGAATTGCTACCGTTAGAGACCGGACACCTGTCCCGAAATAAAGTGGTACGGCTGGTAAGTTGGCAATCTACAGTCTTTGAACACCGAGATTTCACTTTCCGTGGCCAGCAGCGGCCTTATTTATTGCCTTTCTCTCTGGGTACGTATCAGATGCTTGAAAAAGCCATTTGGGCGGGTGGCTCCCAGTTGGGATTCTTATTGAGTAAGTCAGCAGAGTATTAAGAGACTGAGTCCATGGTGTGTATTAAAATATAAGAGTTTACTATAAACCTAACATGGGGAAAAGGTACACAGGATATAAAACAACAAGGAGCTAAAATGGCTACATCCTTACAGCTAAAAGGTAAAACGGGAAGAAGCAGAATGGCGTCTCCTTCTCTAGTCAGAACAAAGAACGGGAGGAGAAGCCAATATGTTAAATACTTGACACCTTCGTTTCCAATCAGACTAGCAAATTAGCTCCAAAGTTCCTGGGCATCCTATTGTCTAAAACAGATTGGTTACAAACAAACATGTGACTTAACAAACATCATTAACCCTGTAAATACTGAAGTGTTTTTGACTTGTAACACCCAACACTCCCACGACTTCTCGTCGCTCTGGTGTCCGTGCGTCTTCCCTGTCTCGGCTTGAGCCTTGCGGGCGGCCGAGTGCTCCCGGGAGCCTTGTGACCCCATCTGCTTCTCCCTCCTGGCTGCAGGTTACAACGTCAAGTGCGAGTACACGGCCCACAAAGAAGGGGTCCTCCGCGAGGAGGTGGAGCTCCACAGCGCGACCAACAACAGAGCCTCCGTCAAGGTGGTGGTGCAGGCCAGAGTGATGGGTGAGTCTCCCCTCCGCCGTCTGCGTCCCATCCTCTCCGTCTACGAGGGGTCCCCAACCTGGTGCCCGCAGAAGAAGAAGAGGAGGTTGGATTTATACCCTGCCCTTCACTACCCAAGGGAGTCTCAGAGCGGTTTGCAAACTCCTTTCCCTTCCCCTCCCCACAATGGACGCCCCCTGTGAGGTAGGTGGGGCCGAGAGAGCTCTTTTGAGGACTGCCCTTGAGAGAACAGCTCTGAGAGAACTTGGGACTGACCCAAGGTCACACCAGCAGCTGCATGTGGAGGAGTGGGGAATCAAACGTGGTTCTGACACCTCTCCTGGCGCTTGCTAAGGGTGAGCCAGTTGTTGTCGTGGGTTAAGTGCGCAGACTCTAATCTGGGAGAACCGGGCTTGATTCCCCACTCCTCCAATTGTCCCACATTTGCGTCGGCGGGAGGACCTGGGGAAAGCCAATAGTTCTGTCAGAGCTGTCCTTGAAAAAGAGCCGTTTCTGTCAGAGCTCTCTCAGCCCCGCGTGCCTCCCAGGGTGTCTGTTGTGGGGAGGGGAAGGGGAAGGAGTTTGTCAGCCGCTCTGAGACTCCTTTGGGTGGTGAAGGGCAGGATATAAATCGAATCTCCTCCTCCTCCTCCTCCTTTTAAGGAAGTGGGTGGGGTCGGGTGGGCCCTTTGTCCAGCAAGTCTTCTGATTGGCCGTTGGTGATTTGATTGGCTGTGCGGATTTTTATAAACGTTGCTTTGGCAGTAGCTGCCACCACAACACAAGAATATTCATAGTGTGGTTGAAGGTAAGCGGCGGCAGCCATTTTGTGGCTGGCTCTGCCTCTTACAGCAGCCATTTTGTGGCTGCTCCCGCCTCACTGTGTCAGAGGCCCAAAAGTGCCCTCAGGGTCAAAAAGGGTGGCCACCAATGCTCCCTCTAAGCTGTGGAATCTCGTGAGCAAAAATTCTTCCTTTGTGAGCTACTGGCATTAAAGTTGTGAGCGAGCGATTTGGCTGCTGTGTAAATTAGTTGGCTCTGAAGTCATCCTTCCTGAGCTAGGACAAAAATGTGTGTACTGGAGGCTAAAAAACTGTGAGCTAGCTCACACTCACCTTACTGGGGGGAAACCCCCCCCCCCCCCCCCGTGTTGGCTCTCCTTCCGCCATTCCTCTGTGATCAAAGAGGTGTTTCCCACGATCCCTCTGAAGGGTTCAAGGGATTCTGGAATGCAGTTTTCCATTCCACGCTAATCGATTTGCACAAACAGACCCAAGGTTCTTTGTGAGGTCCAGCATTGTGTGCAGTGGTGGCGGAGTCCTCAGGGGGTTGTCGTTTCCTGACAGCTGCCGGGGTGGCTCGGTTGGGGCCAGTGTTCCCTCTGAGCTGAGTCAGTGTGAGCCAGCTCACCGTTTTTTAACCTCCGGCTCACACGTTTCCGTCTCCGCTCAGGAAGGCTGGGGCTCCAGAGCAAACTCATTCATGCAGCAGCCCAATCACTGGCTCACCACTTTCATGCCAGTAGCTCACAAAGTAGAATTTTTACTCACAAAGCTCCACAGCTTAGAGGGAGCATTGGTTGGAGCGGGGTGCCCCTCCCTTCTTGCAACTTTGCAGGCCGGGGCATGCCCCGGGGGTGGGGCAGCTTGGCTCGTGCCAACACAAACAGCTGCTTTACTGGTGCCCACCCACACAGTCCCAGCCTGGAGACGCTCCGGCTATCTTGGCATCTGCCTTAATATCCGCCCGTGGCGAAGGGCCTCCGGTGCCCAGGAAATTAAATCTTGCCGGATGTACATTTGCTCAAGCCGTGGACGGTGGATAGATGTACAGGCGGCAGCGATAAGCTGGTGGTCCCCACGCGCATGCAGGTACGGGGAGGGAGACTGAAGCCAAGATTAAAATGAGGAGTCGCTGAGAGGCGTTAATTGCTCCTCCTAAGTGCAGACCGGCAACGGCTTGCAATAAAAGGAGAGGGGGAATTGACGAAACACCCTTTCATGGTAGGAAGCTAGCCACTGCCGTAGGGATGGTTGGCAGGGGTGGGGTTGCCTATCTCCAGGTGAGGCCCGGAGACATCCCACAATTACAACCGATCTCCAAACTACTGCGATCAGTTCCCCGGGAGAAAATAGACCCAGAGGAGTCAGCCGTGTTAGTCCGTTGCTGCAAAATAGTAAAAAGCCCGGTAGCACCTTTAAGACTAACAAAACTTGATTGTAGCGTAAGCTTTCGAGAAACACCGCTCTCTTCGTCAGATGCCTCTGACGAAGAGAGCCGTGTTTCTCAAAAGCTTACGCTACGATCAAGTTTCTTAGTCTTAAAGGTGCCGCTGGGCTTTTTACTGTCCTGAAGAAAATGGATGCTTTGGAGGGTGGGCTGGGGTTGCCAGCTTAGTGGGTTGCGTGTTGTCACTCTAGGACTTCTTTTTTCTCCTAGACTCTATGGTATGTCATAGAGTCCAACCGCCAAAGTTGCCAGTTCCTCCATGGGAGTTGATCTCTGTAGTCTAGAGATCAGGTGTAATTCCAGGAGAACTCCGGCCCCACCTGGACCCCAGGGACCCCAGGGTGGGCTCTACGGCATCATACCTCCCTGAGTCCCTCCAATCCCCACCCTCCCCAGACGCCAACCAGTGTTCCCTCTAAGCTGAGTTAGTGTGAGCTAGCTCACAGTTTTTTAGCCTTCAGCTCAGATTTTTGTCTTAGCTCAGGAAGGATGGCTCCAGAGCAATGTAATTTGTGCAGTAGCCAAATCGTTCGCTCACAATTTTAATGCCAGTAGCTCACAAGACTCCACAGCTTAGAGGGAACATTGTCACCAACCCCAAATCTCCAGGAATTTCATAACTCAGAGTTGGCAACCTGGGATGGGGGGGACAGTGGCGTTCTGCTTGTCCCCTTAAAGCTGCTTGTTGTGTAGGATGTGGGGGGTGGACTGACTGAACTCCAGTGTTCCCATTGGGAAAAGAGTGCTGGATCACACCGACTCCCGGTCCCGTCCTCCCAGCGTCGTCTTCTGCTCCTGAGAGCCAGCGTGGTGTAGCGGTTCA